ACACAACGTGGTGCGATCATTCCCCTTGTGCGGAGTGAGGGTTCTCAACCCCGCACAACATGATCTACTCGACTACCATTCATGGTTACCGCCGAAAAAAAACAGGGGCGAAAAAAAAAAACGGTAACCTGGTTGCAGGGTTCACGAAGTGAATTGGCTTGTTTTACAACGTCGTTGCCAAGCGACGAAAACCCAATCCCGATGGCAAACACCGAGGGGGGGGGCTTGTTTTACAACGTCGTTGCCAAGCGACGAAAACCCAACTCCGATGGCAAACACCGGTGGGGAGGCCCCGGGGGGTTGTGCAAAAAAATGATGATCCACACACCACACACAGAGAGTGGCGAAACTGAGATGGATTAGGTTCATGAGCAAGCGTTCAACATGCAGAGGGAGGAGGAAAGTAAGAGCAACGAAGGCGAAGAGAAAAAAGACAGCAAGAGGTACCATTGCTAAGCCTAAGCTCATGCACAAGAGTTAGCGGTTTGTCCGCAGGAAGAAGCTATTTTAATGGTTCGGTTCTACCTTGAGTTGTGAGATCCAAAAATGAATACGATCATTTTTCCCTTTTTGCGCAAGGTTTCGTCAGCATGCTTTAGCACGTTTCAGCTGACTCCAGGGATGATAAATGCTAGAAATACGAGAAGAAAACGAAAGCATTTCACCTCCGTAGTTTACAGGCAGGATGTAAGAAACCAAGGCATGCGTAACGTGAGTTCACCCCCCCCCCCCCCCCCCCCCCCCCCCCCCCCCCCCCCCCCNCCGACAAGTTCTTCGCCAAGACTGTCAGGGGCATGAACAGCCGACACGGGTCTTGGCCGTCAAATAGCGTACGGAAGGAACTCCGGGATGAGATGCGGGAGTTTGCTAGCGAGCGCTTGCAGCTGGTGCAGGTGACGATTCGTCTTGGTTTGGGTGATGATGGTTTTGGCCGTCCTGATGGTGCCTCTACGGAGATGTCTGGAGGGCATGGTGGTTGACGCTGGTGCGGGGAGGTGCTTGATGATTTGGTGGGAGCTTAATAATAGGAATTCAAGTGATGACCACGACGATGCTTGAAGACTGCTGTGGCTTGAGAACCGGGATCGAGACGACACAGTTGGTCGTTCTCGCAATTTCGAAGCATGCCTCTTAAACCACCAAATTCTGTGTGATGACGACGGCAACAACACGCGCACGTCACTCGCGCGCGAACAGGCACAGGGCGGCATGGTCCGCATGCAGAAGCGCAAGCCCGTGGGCATGGCGTTCCACTGGTTCCTCCCCAAGCCGTTCGGGCAGCAGGCGAGGGAGAGCCGCCTGGACCTTACCGACCCCATGAGGTATACCTACAAGGCAAACCAGGCGTCGCCGATGTTCATGGAGCTCTTGTGTCCGCCGGCCCAGGAGGTGGAATTCCCTTCCGAAGGGACTGAGGTAAATATCGCAAGCGGGGGGG